GTTACGTCTTGTCTTTTTTTAATCCAGAACCCTGTTTATTACTTTGTGCTTAAATTTAGGGAGAATAAATTATAATTCACTTCATTTTTTTAATTATAACATTGTGTCCGACAGTTTATTTTTCTCTTAAACAGTGGTTTAGAAAAATGCATTGTTATTAAATATTTAATTGTGTTCCTCAAATATTTTGAGTTTGTGTGTAATGTTACAATTTACTAGTTAATATTAAATAACCTAAAACAAGACATTAAATTATAAGGTAAATTAAAGTAAAAGTTTTTCCTAACATGTAAATATTTAGTGAGAATAATCTGAGTTGTCAGCTGTGGAATGTATAAATAAACTACCTTTTAATTAAGTTTGTTAAAGCTTTAAAAATGTGTTTGTTGATATATAGATTTTTTTTAAACCTGTCACCATTCTCGTGTAGAAATCAGTACCTATAATTTTATTTGAATGCTAATTTTAGTTACAAAGTGTCTCTTTTCTGATGATTGTCCACTGAAATTAGCTGTGATGCTTTCAGGAAATGATCTGTGCTCCTTGTAATTAGCACAGAATTATGACGGAATTACTTTCGTATTCGTTTAATTGACTCGAGGACGTCTCCGCTGAATATTTGAAATGATAGACATGCTGTTCATGTTTATTTAGGTTTGCAAAAGAACTTTCACACGCTCTGATCCCATGGAAGTTTTTATCAAGTATTCAAAAAGAAACAAAAAACAAACATGTTTCTCTCCTTTTTTTTATTCCACACTCACTCATGACTTTTCCTTGTGAATGTTTTTGTTTCCACTACTTTAAGTTAAATTGCGAGTTTCTTTAAGCCGTGAGTTTCTGAGTGTGTTTGAGTGTGAAGGATCGTTGTATTGTAGCGGCTGCACTGACCAGAAGTCAGTTACGACTGCCGGTGTGAGATTTTAACTTGCTTGAAAAACACACAATATTTGAGCAACAGTGAACAGAGATTTGATTTTTTTCTTGTTTCTAAATGTTCCATCAACACCCAGGCTTTAGTTAAACCCTGTCAGAGCCACTGGAATAAACTAACAAGGCTATCCAATTTCCCCTTTGTGAAATAAAAGCTTTTTAATGTATTTTTCGAGAGGCGGAAAGAAGTTAGCTCACGGTGATGAATTAGATTTCAATTTATTTGACTTCATTCCCAGCTTGCTGCATTAGAGCCTGCAAACACCCATCCCTTGCAGTCCGTCCACTTGATCCGTATTAGGTTTCAGAAAACAAGGCGAGGGAATTGCATTAGTGTATCTTAAGTTAAAAGCTCTTTGCTCTTTGACCAAGTGTTTCATTGTTATTGGGTTAATCAGATTTTTGCTGTCTTCATGGAGATGCTATCACAGGCTAGAGGCAGTGGTGAGTAACCAAAGCAGCCGCACACAGACACTATCCAGATGGGATCAGCTTTCGGTAATTTGGTTTCAGAATACATTACCAGAAGAGCATCCTGGACGAGGATGGCCACCCCACTGTGAGCCAGGAGCTGGTGGCCTCAGCTCAGCCTGTCCACCTGTCGCACCCCCCCCCCTTCCTCCCCCACACCCCTTATCGCTCAAAGTTTTTACAAGGTTTTTTTTAGATGTGTCATTGGAAGAGAAACTGTTCTGCTTGAGCCAAGATTGTTGTCCAATTCTAAATACTTCTTCCTTGTATCAACAGGGCTTTGTTGTCCAATTCATTAGAGAGGTTCCTGAGTCCAATGGCCACGCTGGAGCCTTCTCATTTCTGGTATTTAGTATCATTACTCTTACTGCAAATATGTCACCCAGCTCAGAGTGAGCTGTGGGAGAATGTTGTCTCTCTCCAGGACAAAATGGGCATGCAGAGTTGATTGGCAGACAGGGTTTTAACTGTCCTTTAGCTGTAGAGATTTTCATTTTCATAGATGTTAGCCTTATGTTCATTTAAAAGCAAACAATCAAAGATAATCTAGAATAATCTAGATGTTCTTGTCATAYTGATAATTGGGTTTTACATTTTTATTTTTACCCCCCTATCAGCTATTTATTTTCCAGTTTAGGAATATATGTTGAGATAACAAGCCATCTCTTGAGATGTTATTATGTTTGCCCCTTACACCTCTTGATGATTATCTGCCATGCTTCTTTGCCTCCTTCACAACACCCACCTGCACGGAAACCACCAGCCATCACTGCTCACGCCCCTCCGGAGTTCTCGTCCATGGTAACCTTGGACACCTCCACCGCAGTGTGAGAATCTGTTTAAAAATAACCGGGTCCATTAGTCTAGAAGGATAATGCTAGCCTATGTGGGCTCTCATGCCCTTGTGGCAGCAGAGTGCTATCACTGACACGTTGCGTCAGCACTTCTTCCTGTTGCGCCGATGCTGAAGGGCTCCTCTTCAGTCACTCACACATGCAGGCGTGCAGGTATTCAGCCATTCCTACAGGAGAGGAGAAGTGGAGAAAAATAATATATTGACAGTGGTGTTCGAGTATTACATAAGTAAAGTTTGATGGGTGTCTTTTCTAAAGGCTCCAAGTTTTGGGACAATTTCCAGATCCGGTAATTCCCACTTGGTTAAAAAAGATGTGATGTAAGGTGGGTAACTATATGGGTGTTTATCAGTGAAGGCTATTGGTATTGAGCGCTCAGTTGTTTGAAGGTTATGTTTCAGAGAGGTAATTGAAATGCAAAATAACATTAGGATCGATGGTTAGCTTTGTTTATTTATGAAATCAATATTGAAACCGTCCGTCAGAGAAGCAGCTCTGATTCTCGCTGACAGCTCCAGCCAGTCTTTTGTGCCTGGCCTGAGTGAGCACTGTAACTGTTACAGCTGTGAGAGCAGTAGCGTTTATTCTTTTTTATAACTTATTTTTTTAATTTGCTTATCAGTTTTTGAACAACAGAACTCAAACATTTCAGGTTCATAGGTTTAAACAAAGAGTGTGTAGCTGAAACAAAATCTCTCAGGCGTGACTTTGCCAGATGTTCTAACTTTAATTGTATGATGTAGTTCACACAATTGGCTATGTTTTGAACCAAAATTATATATTAGCTCATAAAGAGCCATCGTTCTGTATCCACTTTTTCCCTTTGCTGTCGTGCTTCAGACTGATGTTCAAATCAGTTGCTCCAATGCAAACATTTCAGTCGTACATCATAAAAAGAGAACTTCTCAGTCAGGTTATAGTTTTGTCACTTGTATTACCATCATTTAACCGGGTAATTCACTGATGTTTAAGTGTAAGAGTGTGTGCTTGCTCCTCCGAGTATACAACTGTAGCATTGTGTGTGTGCGCTTCCCTCTTGGCCACTAAAGGTGTTCACATTAAAATGTCTTTATGAAATCACCCCTACAGCACTAAGTGGAATCAAATGGTCACTCTGAGTGACTGGCTGTTGAACCTGCGACGTGAGATGTTGTGAACTTTGCRTTACGTGTTTAGATTGCAGCGCTCCCTCTCTTCAAAGGAGACGCATTAATTCAGGAAATATCCCCAAAGTTTAATTATCCCTGAATGGTGTGGTGGTGGACACTGGCGTATAAATCAGTTAGGCCCACCCGCCTTTTTATTACCGGCACTATTTATAGAGAATATGTGGCAGCTGGTAGAGATGAGCCTGTAAAAAGCTAGAGGCTATTGCTGTGACTGCGCCGACTGCTGCGGCGTGTGACAGTCATAACAATGGAGTTTTTTAGTAAGATTAATTCATTGTGGTGTTGCTGGGTATGTGTGCTTCAAACAGCCCTTTAAAGTGTGAGAAATTAAGTTGTGATTTCAACTGGATGAAAATGTTATATTGCCATTTTAATCGCTCCTGGGAGCCATGATTACACAGTGACTGTGAGTCTTCGCAAACATTGACACATCTGATTGCGTTTAAATCACCGGCTGATAAACCTGCAGATTTTGGCCCGTTAATTTTGCACAGTTTATTTGCGTGTTTGCCTTTTTTTTTTTTACATCTGTATCTTCTTCTATGGAAGAGGATAATTTATGTGGGGAGAAGGGTTTGGGTCTTTGTTTTAGGCAGGTAGAGTTTCCCCCCTAAACAAGGACGGCCTATCAGAAGATGATTAATGAAGTAATTTCATGCATGGCTCTATGCCTCCTACCCCCTGTATGCACAGTGACTGTGTCTAAACCTGTGATTTACATTCGACTGTGTTAAATAGCCTTAACCTGCTGTAATAATATTTCTCTGTTTGTGACACACACGCACACACACAAACACACACACATCACAGTCAAGAATATCCCCATACCTTTCTGTTAAGAAGACTGGCTCCTTTCTTGGATTTGTTTTCACAGTTTACACCAAAAACTTTTAAATGTGACACAGATCTAACTTTACTCTCTGAAAGTCATGCTTTATAATCCTATATTTTTGGGCTGCATGATATTAAAAAAACTGATATTATTTTGAACGTTCCATTGATGATATCAAGCGTGACAAACGTATTTTTTTCACTCCTCTTTTTCTAATGTCATTACGACACTTTGTTTTAGCATCTTAGCCACTATCATCTAAACTTGTGAGCGTGAAGGGCAGTGAGAGGTTATTGGATTGGCCAAATTATTTGTTTGCGGGCAGATCATGAATGCACAGCATTTGAAAAATAATAGCCTATAATTTTTTGTAGTTCTTTGCAAAACTGATGTTATGCCMATTTCAATATTATGTTTTCATATTTAACATTCTGAAAGTGCATGAAAAGTGTGCCCTTTAATATTCATGTCAACGGGATTACAATTTTGGTTTTATTGATTCACACTGTTGACGTTTGGTGGAAAGTGACTTCCTGATGACGACAACAGTGATGAAAGATATTTCTCTATTTAGATAATGAGTAATTGTTTATTTAATAATCCCTCAAAGGCCGAGGAACTTTGAGTTAAAACTTTTCTAGTGAAGGACCAACATAATGTATCAGCATTACAGGAAGTGGTATTGAGACACTGGTTGCAGTGCATCAGTACCATATAACTCCAGCTTGTGCCTGATGTCATAAATCACTCTGGTTTTCATGTGACAAGCCTCGGAGGAAACTGTTTATTGGTCATTTTTGTCAGTTGACTGTAATTACTTTTTCTAGATTTCGAGAGCCATTGTAAATTTGTGTTGTTAAATTATACCATGACTGTGCTGCATAATGGATATAATGAAAACTAATCTTTTTTAATGAAGAAGCAAAATTAGAAATTTGATCCCAAATGCACTGCATAGCAGGCTGGAATAATCCCTGAACTTCTTTTTTTTTTACATACTGTATGATGAACTGTCTAATTCTGCAGAGAGCTTTTCCTCTGGGGTCTGCAAAGAAGATTGTTAACTCCTTGCTCTCCATGCTTAGATGACGGACAGATCTCACAATAATCCCCACTGACAGAAGCTCTATCATTAGCCACTTACTTCCTTCAACATCCTGAAATCAGCCCCTTTGAAGAACTAGATCTGCCCAGTGCGCCCCAGACGGTTTACGTCAGACAAACAGCAGTGCCTGTATCACCAGAGGCCCTCGCTCTCCTCCCAGCAACATCTCTTGAACAGGAAGGAGAGGGGGATCAATAGATGTGATCTGCTTCTTGGCCATCTCTTGTCTCGTGGTGCTGCTGGAGCATGGGGTTCATGTTGTCATAGTGGAGTGAGCTCATGGCTTTATAAAGACTACAATGACATCGCTGTAAAGCAGCTAAATATAATCCTCTACTGCAGCCTCCAAAAAAAAAAATCTTTACCCAGCTTGCAGAGCGGCATGGTCTCCTCAAGTGGTAACCCTGCACTAAGTCCCTAACCTGCCTTCTAATTGATCCAAGGACCCTTGTCTCCCACCGGAGCACTAAACATTGCTTTTTTTCTTWTACACTTCCTCATTCATCCCTCTCTTTCTGTCTRTTTTAGTTGTTGTTGTTTGCCTCTGTAGTTCTGCACATCATAAATCTCTGTCAGCGTAGGTGTCTGGCATATCTGTTAATAGAGAGGCCCCTCCCCTCTCTCTTCAGGTCCACCCCCTCCCTGTTCTCAGTCATCTCTCTGCCGGAGCAGGACTAATGAATGAGAAACTCCAAAATTAGAGGCCTCTTTGTCATAGATTAGAATTGGTCCCCCCGGAGTGCCGGATTTGCCTCTAACCTAACCACAGCCGTCAGCAAACCCCCCCTCCCCCACATTTCCATTTTTCATTTTCTGTCTTTGGGACAAACACACACTCAGACATGAGCTGAGACACAAACAGAGACGCACATCCCAAGAGTCTTCTGGCTTACTCCCCTGATGGTTATTAACCTGAAACCAGTTCAATGGAAAAAAAAAGGCTTTTGCCATATTTTGGTGATGTTTTTTTTTGGAATCTCCACCAGGTTTTCTCACAAGCTTCATCTTCTTTTTTATTTATTTACACATTCCCCTGTTAGAACACACACTGAGCACTTCAGGTGGCATACAAGCTTCTGAATGTATATCTGGCAGATTTTTGGACTCTGCTGTCCTAAAAATGAGTCCCTTGGCTGTGCGTCAAAGCACTAAAAGGCAGCAGTGGCCCCTGGAGGAGAGGTCAGCATGGCAGCTGCTGGTGGCTCTGTCTGTGGTGGGAAGGCTGAGCAGGGCTGAGAGAGGGTCTGTCAGGAGCTAATTGAGTTCGTCCTACCAGTGCTGACTCTGGGGCCAGTGGCTTATCAGGCCACATCGCCCGAGGCCCTCAAGACAGATTTGCCCCTACTGGGGCATCTGATATCACCATCGCCCTGCCTTCAGATGTCAACCCCCCACCATCAACCTTTTTCTGTGTCACTTACACAATCTGATCAGGTGGCTGCTGTGACACTCTGGGATGAGGTGAGCAAATATAAAATTATATTTTTGACTTCTGTTGGCACTATGGGACTGACTTTTTAGTTTTTTTATTTTATTTGTTTGTTTAAACATAAAACTGAAGTCCCACAGAGGAGGATGTCTTTACATGTCCAAAGTGGGACGGTAGGTCTTGCAGGAATACTTACAAATTGACTCAATTAGATCCTGAATGTGCCGACACCTCTGTGACCCGATGTTTCAGAATTTCGCTTGCAGGTGAGAAAAAGTGTCGAGACGAGAAGAATCGGAGCGCCGCGCTCCTCTTCATGAAAGTCGAGGAACGGCGAGCGTGAGACGTGCTGCCAGATCGTTAGGCCAGCTAATCCTGGTCACAGCAGCACCAGTGGAATGATATTAGGGATCTGAAATGCTGTTAGGAGGGCCAGGTGGAATCAGATTAAAACCAAACTGCGCAGTGTGCGTTTGCAAGCCCATAACCTACTACTCAGCATGAATTTTGATCGGTACAAAGGGAACAAAAGGAGGAAGAACAGAGAGGGGGGGATACTGTGCCTTGGAAGAGAGCTGTTCTTTTGGGCAGCCAGGCAGCAGAATTTGAAAAAGCTCTTACCTTGAGGAAGGAAGAAAGAACTATAGATTTTACAGCATCAAGTCTCAGATAGTTCAGCAAACCTTTTCTTGTCTGCTCTGTCTGTGTAACACACAAGCTAATTACTACCTGCCCTGCATGCTGAATTATTTATTGGGACTATTGCTGCTGTCAAATAATTTAATGCTCATAATTCATTTTCCTCATACAGTTGTATTTATAGATTTAAATTGGACCTGTCCTACCAGAGATTACAAATATTTATAGAAATATTTTAGGCAATTTGATTAATACGCCAGGTTTAGGTGGTTCGTATTCCCTCCGTATCATTAATCAATATAAGCAGGCTTGTTAAAAACATAAGCATAGTGGTGGCGCTAATGTGTCATAGCAGAATGAGTTAAGGAGATTCTAGCCTGCACATTTATTATAAATGACCACATTGAGCTGGAGGGGAAACAGTTAAGACACTTATGCAATTATGCTAAGTGTCACCCTGAGGATGGCCTTTGAACTGAGGTTAAGCTTACACTGAATTTGTGAAATAAAAGCTAAATGGAGCCATCTTGTGCTCCTACGTTTTAATATATCGCCTTTAATAAGCCGAGTGCAGGTGGCCTATCGTGCAGGTGCGCATATCCATCTCAAACATGAAGCATAAAGCAGATGAACACAGAGAGATATGCATTAATTTAAAGGGATGCAATCTGCATTCATTATACTTCTACGTATTTTTAAAAGAAGAATCACTTCCTCCATTACTGYAGAGACATTAAAGAGAACATGAAGGATTATGCATTGCTTAAATTGGGAGTAAGTAAAAAAAATGCAATAGGATCACAGTTTCACCAGCAGAAAGGACGCTGTGAATTCATTTCATACAGTAGAGATTGAAAGGAGAATTCCAGGACTGCTCATGCACAAGGGCTTATCCCACAAGGTCAACAGTTTTAACTGGGGACATTTTTTATTATTTATTTTAGCAGTTAACCTTTTTGTGAATTTCCAGAAGTGGTAGGCACCCGGAGCTGCGATGAATATACATGACAGCAGGGAGGGAAACCCAGGAATGAGATTTAATTTGACACGTTGACCCCCATCTCCACGGGCCCTGGAAGCCAGGGTGAGAAAATAATGTTGACCCGCTGACCCCTGGGCCTCAACCTCTCCGTCACCCATCCTCACAATTAAATCAGCTTCAGAGAGCCGGAAGATGTCCGGTCGACCGATAGGGGCCACTGCAGTTGCGTGCTCCCATTTCCTGTTTTGTTTTGGAAGGAGCTCTTAGACAGACAGCTCGGGAAGTTAGAGCCCAGTTGGAAGCTTTAACCTCTCCCATTTCCGATGGTAAACTGACTTTTCAAATGTGTAAACATTAGCATTAGTTGGCAATATGCTAATGGAGCTAAAGCACAGCTTGTGTTGTCTTAGCTGCCACTCCCTCAGAACCTCCGTATCTACATTTGCATAAGCCATGCAAGGCTCAATTTTGCTAATGCAGGCAAGTGCAAGCCACCTTTTACCCCTTTCCATGGTGCCTAATGCAAACGTGTGTGTGGGTGCGTGTGCGCGTGCGCGTTAGTGTGTGACCTCGCCTTAACCCTAGGAGGTTACAGTGTCTACACAGCATCCCCAATACACTGAGTAATTCATTTCCTCTCCTTGTTCACCTCTTCAGTTCACTCTATCGGCACAAAGGAACGGCGTCAGGTCCAGCCACCGCCCCCCCCCACCCCCCACCCACTGTTCTCTCAGTGCAATTTCAAGTTAAAGGTTATAGAGCAGGACTGAAATACATTTATATGGGCAAGGAAGGCTTCAGAGTGCATTTTGTGGCTGCAGTCAAACAGCTGCACTTTAGTCTGCACACGTTACAGCATTAGATTACATGTACTCCAAAAAACAGCTATTAGACAGACAGTGAAAAAGTCAATATCTTGCCAKCATGTTTCCTTTTGGTTGACTGCTGACTGAAGGAGACAAGCCAAGGTCCGCTGTGCTCTTTAAACTATTGAGATGCCCCATCTTGATTTGCTGTCTGTGTACGTGTGTGCTTTTGTGTGGGGTTATTCCAGAGCGCTCTCTTTCTGTGCCGCTGTCTCTCATTCTTTTCCACTTTCCTCTCTTTCCCGTCTGTGTGTTTGTATTAAGCAGGGAGTGTGTGCAACTGTGTGTGTATTTGTTCTCTGAAGGACTTCAGCAGCTGCCGTAGTGTGTAGCTAATGAAGCACTTAGGATTCTGGTTTACTGGTTGATGTAAATGTTAGAACTGGTGATTAGAGCTGCGCAATATATTGAAGATTTATCATCATCTCTATATCAGTGTATCATTGTGTTCAATGCCGATATTGCAAATGACACCAATAAATCGCAGATCCGAATGGCGCCTAAACCTCATTAAGCAAATTTTGCACGATTCAGTTGTGAAACACATCATTTTTGAAGCATTTTAGAACAAGATTTTGAGTCTGTAAATGCTTTATAAAGTTTGTTAAAGCATGCATTTCAGTTAGATTAACTCTAGAATGTTAAATAAGATTTATTATCTTCTGAATATCTCTACTAATCACCTTCATTTTCTTCTCCTTTTCCAACCAACCCTCCCCCGACTCCTTACCCAGGCTGCTGAATAGAATGGCAGCTGATGAACGACATCTACCCTCCAGCTGTGGGTCCTACATCAAGACAGAACCGTCCAGTCCCTCCTCGGTCATCGACACAGTCAGCCACCACAGCCCCAGCGGCAACTCAGACGCCAGCGGCGGCTATGTCAACGCCATGAACAGCCACTCGAACGGCCTGGACTCTCCGCCCATGTTCACCCCCGGCGGGCTYGGCGCCGGCTCCTGCCGCAAGCGCTACGACGACTGCTCCAGCACCATCATGGAGGACTCATCCATAAAGTGCGAATACATGTTGAACTCGCTCCCCAAGAGGCTGTGCCTGGTCTGTGGAGATATAGCCTCAGGGTATCACTATGGGGTAGCTTCTTGTGAGGCCTGCAAAGCCTTTTTTAAAAGGACAATACAAGGTATTTTTTCTACTCTCACCTACCCCAGTACAAGTCGTTTCATCCCATGTTTGCTGCATCACCAGACACAAAAACACCCGCCATACATGAAACCTCTGGCCTCTAAACAACACTGAAACACACTCAGTTGTGGCAGTTCGTCAAACGTAGGAATACGTCTCTACCTCTGAGACCAGCAGCGTCCAGGAAACAAAACAAACAACAAAAAAAAGACAAACTTTTAATTTTTCTACGGTTTATGTATTTACTTTTCTTACGGGACAGATTGTTTATGATATAAGCCAAAATAAATCCCCATGAGATTATGATCATCTGTCATGGTTAGTGGACATCATCACGTAGAGGCCCGATTTGTCATGGAGTGGAAGCTGTTTGCCCAGATGCAATTGCAGAGGTGGGGGGGAGGGGGTTCAGAAACATTCTTTATTATGCTTGCCCTGTAAATGTGTGCATGTGTATGCTTTGGAACTGATGTGGCTATCTGCAAGGCACGATGTATTGTAGCTCCTCATTACAGAGGCGATGAAAGACCCCCCCACTGTGAAACTGTGCGCTCGGCTCCTGATTAATCAGGAGGAGGAAGATATTGTTGAGACTAGGGGGTGAAATCTGCACAACGGGCACAGCTGCTTAGAACTAATCTCTGCTGGGTTAGAAATGCAATATGTACACTGGAAAAAATATTTTTAAATGTATTTAAATGAGTTGTTTAAAAAGAAAATATGAATGTGTTGTTTTAGCTCAAAGGCTATTACACCTTTTAACATTTTTTCTGAGCATTTTTTTTTATCAGTAAATGATTGCAGGAATTACAGAGCAGGCTGCCTGTCTTGATATTAGGTGTTGATTTTGGACCTTACAGCCCTATCAGCTTTAGACAGTCTATGTACCTTTTGCAGGCAAACAAACGCATTAGGCCAAATCCTCCTGTTTACCCATGCTGCCATCAGCAATCCTGTCTATTGACAAAAGATGAACATTTTCTCTCAAGTAACATAACTGAGCTTTTGTCCCCTCAGTAAAAGTACACTGACAGCAACACAATTGAACACTGGGAAAGAAAGAGACATCTTAAGTGGAGCAATGGCCCAAACAATTAGGAGCAAGGTACATGGAGGGGAAAAAAAATTGAAAGCTCCTCTTTTTTTTCTCTCCCCCRTTCACTTTGCATTGTCGATTTGAAATCCTTCTCTTTCTTTTCTTGGAGGGCTGCCTGTAATGGAGCTAATCTGCCGTCGTTTGTCCGAGCCACAGGAGTTTTGTCAATAACAATCAGCGTTTGGAAAGTGTAATTAAGGCCGAGGCTTTTCATTAGGAGGAAGGGAGGGGGCCGTCTCCAGGGACGGGCACGCCAATTAGAAACTCAGGCACGCGTCGCCGGGTAATTTCAGGGAAAGGAGGAGAAAAAAAACCCAGGACTTCTTTAGATTGGAGAGGGACCCTGCTGCTCTTTCCGAAGAGAGGAGGAGAGGCTTAATGGCATAATAATCAGACAGGGGTCCCGAGCAGTGGAGGCAGGAGGACGGAGAGACTTTTTGGGGGGGAGGTGAAAGCCTTCTGAAATGATAAAAGAAACACACGCAGTATTGCTGGAGGGAAAAAAAAGGCAGGCCAGTAAATCGCACGATGTAGTGAGAGCTCTTGAAAGAACGAGAGGGTGCTGTTGATGAGAACTGATTAATTAAAGGAATAACGAGGCAGTCAAGGGTGGAGTGAGACGGCCCACTCTAATGAGAAGAAAACAAAGGAGCTGTCTTTCCCAGGCCTTTATCACATTTCTTCGATAACACTCGGGGCAAACATGATAAGTTAGTGTTAAGCATGTACATGACAGTTTCTTCATCACCTTGTGCTCACCTTGTGATGCAACAACTTATTCTTTGTAGCAGGTTTTGTGTATTAGGGTTTCAGTTTTTCCACATGTACAGTGCAATCTTCTCTTGGACTCGACTTCTTTAGCTGGTAGCGACTGCCCTTTTCTTTTAAACAAAAATGGATGGCRAATCCATCTCCTGTCACCTAGTCATACAGTGAAAAGCCCCTTGAACTTATACGTGGGGATAGTTGCATTAGTCAAGGCCAGGTCTGAGTTAATGTCAACCTTTATCTCTATCCATCCCAGAAATGCCCCCATTCTCATTGCTTCCTTATCATCATCCATCCCAGCATCTCACGTGTCCCACCAATCAAAAACAGAAATGCTTTATTGAACCGTGTTTTCTTCCCATTTTGAACCCAAGTGTAAAATTGCTTGAAAACCAACTGAACTCAGTGGCCCGCTTTTATGTGAAGTAATAGACCTTGACAGTAAGCCTGTAAAAGTCAGTTTAGATTTTGATGAGAAATACTTGCCATTTTACTGTAATTTACTTACAAGACCTGACTTTCCCCTCTGTGCCCTGGCATGGGTCCTGAAAAGCCATAAAATAGATTGAGACAGATACTTATCAAGAGGGAAAAAAGGAGGGAAATCTTTTTTTCTCCCTTCACCTTGTAATGTTACGGGTAACCATAGCGTAGCCTCTCTAAAGACAGATAAACCTGAACACGACTTGGGTTGAAAGGGTTCCGGTCAGTGTACTTTATTTTGTGAAGGTGAAACTTTCCTTGCTGTTCCTGTCATAGATTTTACTTTATTTTATATTTTTTGGACATGTTTCTGATCATCATTTAGTGCATGCACTCATGGACTCCCACACAACCCAGAGTGTTTTATGCTGCAAAAGAACCTAAAATGTGGAATAAAAATGGAAAATGGCATCTATACATTTTATCAATGCCTGCATAAGTACGTAAATATGAACAACTTTGATGAATCACAGTTTGGAATTCATCGCATGTTTACAAGCTCAGCTATTTATTCATATTTTGATCATAAATTTGACCCATATTTGCCTAAATCACTTTTGTGTTTTGTGTTTTTGTTGAATATAAATGTAGGTCCAGATACATCAGTGTGTTGTGATTTTAGGACCTTGTGATGCAGCGAGATGGTGTGTGTGCACTGATACTAAAACACTGCCTGCTCTAAAAATAAACCAAACGCAGACATGGAGAATTGGTTAATACACCCATTGCTCTGCAGTGAGCTTTGAGAAGCTCGATCMGACAGGACATCCAGCTTGGTGGAACAGGTGGATACAGCAATGTGGGGATGTTTTTCTCTTTCCTGGAAAAGTGGGCCGATAAAATTCACGAGAAGGTGTAGTTTGTRGAGGTGGAAGGGAAGGAAGATGGAGAAAACTAACCCTGATAGCAAAGCACCCTCACGCTGTTGAGTTGAAGAATGCAAATATATATATTTCCACATCACATGCACGTATATGTAGTGCTCAAAYGCATAAACAAATCCTAATTTATTTTACATCTATTTAGTATTTTACATGACAATTGATGATTGGTTAGTGTATTTGGACAAACAAAAAAAAAGTCTGAAGCAGTAAGTCCCTGCAGGACTGCACTGATTGCCTCCTCCCACCTCGTGAGAAATGAATTGGATTATTATGGTCTGCTCTGCTATGACAACAGAGAAAACAGACAGAGGAAAGGCAATCAGAGCTCATCAGCTGCCTCTTTCACACCTTTATTTACCCCAATCCCGAAGAGATGACGAGAATTAGCATAATGATTTTCAAACCCAGATAAAAGGAGGAATTTCTAATTATTTATAACATCTTGGGACCCTCCTTTTGATCTGTCCAATAATGTTAACATAATTGCATAAGTTGTCAATGGGTGTAGAAGGGCTGGTGGAGGAACGCCGGCGGAATAATACACAGCTTCCTTACAGAAATATGGAGCAAGGGTCAACGTTGTGGTGCAGGAACAAGATGTTGGGATGAAATCCTGATCAGGCCTAACACGATAACAAATTTTGCTGGATGATAAATTGTTTTACAGATTATTTCAATAAACAATAATATTGTTTGGAGACCATTTTAAACTAATTTATGWTACCTCCCACCCCAATACTTATGAAGCTTTATGAAATTTACACACGTTAAAAATAAGTTACGAACTGACGTGGACTGGCGATTGTTAAAACACACAACAGCTGCTAAAGATGTAACATCGCTAACCACCTCCTCTGTCCAGCCCGACACAATTTATTCTTTGTATGTAGTCCTCTGGCTTCATAAAATAATTGTGGTCACCCTCTTGCCTATAGCCTAGCCCTTGCCTTCCTACGCAGTTCCGCTCAATTCTAGTTTCCCTTCACTGCTTTGTCTGGCATTTCTCCCATAAACAAGGATTTCGCTGGCAGATTTTTAGCCGAATCAATCAGAGAACAGAGCATCGATTTTCTGCACAGTATCTGCTTGTAGTTAATTTTACCTGGGCCAATCAGCAAACAGAAGGCGGAGTTTTGAACGACGTCAATTTTCTGCGCAGTGTCTGCTAGTTTAGCAATGGCAGCAGAGGAAGTGAATGAATCCAGTCCGTGTTGATAAGGCTTTCAAATTAAATTAAAATTTGTCTGACAAAGCAGAAGCTCTCATTTACAGTCATCTCGTTCAGCTCGGTATATTTCTCCTCTCAGTAGGGTTGTTTACAGCACACGCTATTTCCGGTTAGCTTCTTAGCTTAGCCTCCTTCACAGCGGCACTTCAACAGAGGCCACGCCTCCAGCAAGAATCGCTTCTCTACAGCCGTGAGTCCAGACCCTTGTACGAAGCAAAGTGAAGGACAAGGGTCTGTTTTTTCCTAGGCTACCTTGCATACGAAGTTTACAAAATTTACGTAGTGTAAAAACAACTCTTAGCGAATCCAAGGTTCAGCATGTTGGCCTGAGGGTGTCTTGAGGGTGTCACCAGCTGAAAGCAGGCATTGAAAAACCGTAGACAGTCCTCTAGCTAAAGGCCTGCTCATGGGGCTCTCAGAGGTTAGAGACCATGAGTCTGGCAAATACCTGACACCAGAGTTCACTCCTCCCTAAGGAGGGAGACTCGAAGAAAACAAACAAGCAKGCAAATGAAAATTATTAACCTCATTTTAATTGGTTGTGCGATTAATTGATATACTCTTTATCGTGACAGGCTTAATCCTGAAATGAACGTTCATCACTACAAACACTGGATGCACATAGCCCATTCTGTTTTCTGGGTGACTTTTGTTGCTTACTTATACTTTACTGAATGTGCTTTTCAAATGATAATGATTAGGTCAGATTTGACCACAGTGCTGAAAAAAGACTCGAGGAAGTTGAGACAAATATCAATGTCAAAAGCTCGGAAGCTGAAAGCCCACTCAATATGAGGACGATTCAAATTCCTGGGCTTGAAGTAACTATTAGACTGAAACCCTGTATTGAAGCGCTCTGAATACAGTTAAATGTAGGGAGTCTGGCGGAGACGGGACTCATGTCCTGCCCGCTCTATTCCTAATGCCAGAGCAAAACAGGCTCTTTCATTGTGGAGCAATGAAACTCTTTTTCAAGATGCTGCCGTTGAATAATGCATCAGGCCTCTTTGCCTGTACACTATGTAAATAGTCAACAATAGCAACAGTGGTAACAACAGGTTTGGGTCTGCAGGAGTATTATGTAAAGTGGTCGATGGCAGCATGTCTAGCCTGCTATTGAAGCAGTGGCAGGCCCCTAAGAGTGCAGGGGGACACGGCCAGCACCGGGGCCTGGAGGGGACGTGCACAGAATTAATGAGGCCAATTTACTGTTGGACCAGAGTGGCATCTACTGAACAGTCCTGAAGGACCTGTGTAGCTT